CAGAATGAAGACTTTCCCACTTCGCAGCGCGAACATGCAAAAATCAGAATGTTCACTTTTCTCAGTTCGCGGCGCGAACTGATCAGTTTGTTTATGTTTTTTTTGCTGTTTTTTTACCTTAAATAATTTTTTTTCAAGGAGTTCGCGTTTTTTTTGCATGTCTCGATTTTTTTTAGCCAACTAACCCCATATGTTTGTATGATTTTAGTGTGTGAATATTGCTATTGTCCTTGTTAACTCTTGATTCCAAAACCATTTTCAAAAACAAACTCTCGATTTTATCGAGCCATTTTCAACCTTGTAAGTCGGCCGCCTTGTACGTCTGCCATAGACCTCGTTCGTATCACTTTAAACATCTTTTACAAACAATAAACCTTAATCCAACATCAAGTGATCCTTTTTCTTATAAACAACCTAAAACACAATAAAATATACGATTAGAATTATGCACCATGAACTTTAAAGTGGTGGAGAAGGAATGAGAATGCAGTCCTCCTACACTCATTCCGAATGTTTTGAATACAAGGCGCTCGACTTGGTTATCCGAGACATTCATCTCTATCCAAAGTCTTTTGTATAATCCTAGTCAAGAATAAATTCTTCCCTAAGAAAAACCTAAAAATAACATCAACTCATCAAACTATTTCTCGCCTTAGGGCATCAATCCAAAACCCTTTTTCAAGGTATAAAATCAACCAACAAGCAACTATTTCGTAAGCCTCCGAACTACGGAGCTCTGATTCTTCACTTCTTTTAAGTGAAGATACGTAGGCACAAGGGCCACAATCCTTGGCGAGCATTAAAATAAATAAACCAATCCCCTCTTTTCCTTAAGCAAGCAAACTCTTAATAAAAACACACATTCACGCGAAATAACCTAGGAGGTTCCCATCGAATACGATGGATGCGAGGGGGTGCTAACACCTTCCCCTTGCATAACCGACTCCCGAACCCTAAGACTTGATTGCGATGACCACGCTCTTTTCCCAAACGTTTTATCGCTATTTCCCTTTCCCTCCTTGGGATAAATAAAATTCGGTGGCGACTCTGTGTCATTTTTCGCGTAGCGACAACGATATCTCTCTATTCTCAGGATGGTTGGCATGCAATTCGACCATTATTGTTCCTAATTTGCCAGAGCGCGTCATGCGACAGTTTGGCTACACTCAGACCATTCCCAAACACCCAGTTGTCTCTGCTCCTCTCGACTTGACTTATATGCAGATAGACGAGATCTATGCTGACTACCAGATGCACATGGTACCTAATGAGGCTCGGGCGACCAGAGCACCGACAGACTTGAGTTGCGTTGATGGCTATATCATGTGATTTTTCACCGTATCACACTCTTACATGGTGCCCACTGCCGTGGGATCACCGCCCATACTAGCTCATCAGGAGATCTTAGAGGAGCAACAGTCTCAGTTGGACCATACTCAAGATGTCCTGCCTCGCTGTCATGAGATAGTGGAGATGGGGCAGACATGCATTGCGGCTGGTTTCTTCCCTGAGATGTCTAACCACATGTGTGTATGGAATCTTTTGATTCAGATGATTTATGAAATCTTTTACTATCTGATATTGTATAATAGAACCTTTTGATTCGGTTGATTTATGACATACATAGTTAACAACCAATTGTCTACCACTCTTATAACATCAAATATATATTTTACTGATCTTTCTATAAATATAAAGACAAAAAAATAATAATAAAAAAATTAATATTTTAAAATGTATATGCTAAATACATTTAAATACAATGCTAAATAAATATATGCTACTAATTCATAAACACGTGAAAAAAAATGTATATCAATCTGTAAATATTCCCAATGAAGAGTATCTATGTTATGTTTTTCTCTTCAATTGTCAATGACCAGAGATATTTTTATCTCAGTATATAACAATAACAGAGGTATTCTGCAGCATAATGAGCAGCAAGATCAACTGCATTGCCTTGTCCTATTGATATTAATTATAGCCGTTCTTAAGCCCAATGATTCACGTCAAACAAAGTCCGCAGGCTTCTTCATTTGTTATCATATCCCATAAACCTTAAAATAATGCACTCTCTTTTCCTGACTTCTGGGTTGTGGGGAATCACCATGCTTTCGAGTATCTATCACCTGATGTTGGAAAAAAAACAAATTACATTTCAACCGAGATAACAAGAAACTAAGCATGGATGATGAACATCAAAACGCACTCAGCTTTACTCGGTAAATATAAACTTGATTAGAAAAATTGTGTTTCTTAATCTAATGATCCAGAATTGATCATAAATTTTGTACCTGTAAAATTGAACTGACAATTCAGAAACAATGTGATAAGTCATATTTGCAGACTTTGAGACTGGGCGAGAGTTTCTTCATTACTGTATCTTCCACCATTACCTTCATGAACTACTCCAATCTCATTATCTAATTTCTGAAAGCAACTTTATAAATACTTGCTTTCATCTTCAATCTTGTGTTCCATCATAAAAGATGCCATGTTCAGCACTGGCTCATTCAACCTTGGTGGTATTTGGTGAGTACTGAATTCATTTCATTAAATTTAGTCCTCTCCTCGAAACTTCAGATTCCTCCATACAAGGATTGCTTCTGTTGGTAACTAGCAGGAAGTTGAGAACATGGATTATGAATACCCTGAAAAATCCTTAGCTAACTTGAATAGATTTTCATTTCGTCCCTGGTTATGGCTTTCGAGCCCCGTTACTATAACTATCAATGACCGTGTTTAAGAGAAAGCTGGCTCCAACTTCATTCTCCTTAACCTCTATAGACCGATATTTAGTGGTGCTGGGGACTAATATCTGTGTGGTCTTCACTACCAACAAAAAAGTAATGACAACAATCAATTGCAGCAGGATCTAACATTGAAACTCCAGCTGTAGCCTTCACTTGCTAATTACTTCCATTGTTAACCTTCCTTAAGCCTCTTCTCTAGTACAATTCCAATTGGCAGATAAAACACCTAGAAGACCACTCAGAAATTAAAAGATCTTGGAACCAGTCCCCTCAGAAACAGTCAACTACACCACTGTAAAAAAAATAAAAATTAGAGGCATCAAAATCAAATGTTAGTATTAAACAACTAAGTTAGGTGCTAGAATAGCCCTCTAGAATCTAGATGCTTTCATAACATAAACTTTTCCTTTGCATGTAGTTTTTGGTATGCAGAGACTAAAAATCTAGGAATAAGAAGATAAGATTGAATTGGACAAAACCCCCAAGGGTACAACAAAATTTAAGAAAATGTATCAATTTTGACCTATGTTGTAAGTCTCACATAGCAATGTGTAGCGCCAAATCCCTAAAATGCTATAGCGATATTGCATATAGTAGTATGACTGCTATTGTGAAGACTAAAAAACAATGCACAACGCAAACATAAATTCCAACAACACACATAAATACTCTAAAATAGAAAGATAAACAACTAAAGGAATAATCATGCTTAATAATTATAATCAACTGTCATTTCCCATCAAAATAAGTTCTAAATGTAATTAACAAGACGCCTCGTCAAAATCAAGTTTTAAATGTAAGCAATCGGAACACAAATAGAACCTAAACAGAGAAGAACAAACTTAAAATAAAATAAAATAAAATAAACATATAACAGAGCAATGAATACAGAAAAATAAACCTAAACAGAGTAACTGAAGATGAAGAGAAGCACAGAACAGAGGAAACGCAGAACAGATGTTACAGAAGTACCAAACAAAGAGTAGAACAGAACAGAAGTTACAAAAGTACCAAAAAAAGAGTAGAACATAACAGAAGTTACAAAAGTACCAAACAAAGAGTAGAACAGAATAGAAGTTACAGAAGTACCGAACAAATAAGAGAAGAACACAACAGAGAAAGCAAGCAAGAGAACAAATACAAACCTTGATAGAGAAACAGACCAAGATCACAACATCAAACGACCATGGTAACACAGGAAGAAGACGTAGAGAAAGAAGACAATCGCAAAGGCAAAGGAAGCAGCAGAGAATATGCAGGAAGAAGAATCGGAAGAAAAAAAACGCAGAACATGCAGAATCGAAGAAGAGTGGATTAACAGAGAAACATGGATTAAGATATAGGTCACTTAATGAGGTGCAAAAGTGCCAATATACATCAACAAAAAAAACAATAAGTATATTTGGGGAATTTTCCCCCCAGAACCCTAATAAGGGTCTTCATCAAAACGCCATTCAACCGCTATAATTGCAACTTTGTTTGGCGGGTAGGAGACAAATGGCATGGGAGTGAGGGGCTGCTCCGCCATGCTATGCCAATATAGCGGTGCTATTGACAACATAGACTTTGAGCAAGTTATAGTTATTAACAGTAGTAAAGCAACATATTAATCAGGCTGGCAGTGAGGATGATTTGATTTGATATATTGATGCATTGATTTATAATCTAAATAAATTGACTGGATATTAACAAATTAATAAAGTTAATTCTACTGCAATAGCAATTACTGGCGCTTCCATGCATAACCGGTGCAAGAGGGCGTCATTTGAGCCATTTTCACAATTGGGAAATTTAAAAACGGTGCTTCTATGCATAACCAATGCAAGAGGCACCACTCAGGTCGAAGCCATAATTGGGATATTTAAAATTGAAGGCATAAAGAACCTGCCAACAATAAGCTTAAAATCAAATGCAAACAATATGCATCCAAGAATATTATAATGCCAAAAGAGACAAAATAAGTAAACAATGTGAATAAATCCACTAAAACATAGAGAAAAAATACCTGCAGATTATTTGCAATGGTAGCCCACTGAAGAAGTTCATTTTCAAAAAAAAAAAATCTAATAGAAAGACTATGTACAACCATAATAAAAAAATTTCCTTGAATGCAATCCAATCATCAAATAAATTCTCAACGAGCTGCATGCCCCTTTGCCTGGCAATTGTAATGAACTTCTTCACTTTTATCCACTGAATGTGCTTCTAGCTACAGTAATGACATGTGAGGGACCTCTGCAATATAAATCATGACGGAAATGCGTCGTTGGGAACTGTATAACCATGCTTGAACATTTGTCCCAATATTTTCAAAACCATGGCTTTCTGACCAGAATTGCAGTAAGCTTTGTACATTATCCACAATGTTTGCTTGTTGCGATTCATGTTGATATCATCCATCTCCTCCAGGACATTTAGTATTTTTCCAAGGTTCTTCTGTGAGCTATACATGACCAGCTTACAATGATATAAGGAGTGGCAGATTCTCCACCCCGCAAATACAGAACGTGTAACAAAATTTTCAAGATTTTCTATCGCGTTGCACCGAAAATAAGCTGTAACTATGCACTTGATAATGCCTGTGGTTGTAACAGCGGTTCTGTGCTCAAATGCCTCGTTTATTGCAGTCTCCATTTTCTCTAACAAGTTTTCCCGGGCATAAAGCTTAATCAACAACACGTTTAACCAGGGCCTGTATTCTTTTTCAGGGATCAACTTTAACATTGCCTCTATTTTCTTCGTTTTATATACATCAGAACTTTTACAATAGGCACATATCATAACCCTTAGAATCGCCATTTCATTTTTATTTACATGATCCCTTACCAATGAATATATCTCTTCCATCTTCTCCAGATTACCAAGGTGTGCATACCCACGAATCATTAAGAGGTAAGTTTTCATATCAGGCCCAACAGGGCCTGACTTTAGCACTTGAAAAACTTTTTCCATATCATCCCACATCCAGGTGGAGATATATCCACCAATTAAATAATTATAAGTCGATATGTTAGGCGAGAGGCCTAAGTCACTCATCTCCTTGAATGTTGCTTCCATGTGATCAATGAGCATCAAGCGACCAAAAACAGATATAACAATATTGTATGTAACAACGGAAGGAGAGCAAACTGGATCCTTTTTCATATCGAGAAACAAAGAGTGGCATTTACCCGCAAGACCATTGAACATAAAAGCACCCATGAGTGCATTGTAAGTGCTGTTTATCTTCACACCCTTCTTCTCAGCCTCCCTAAAAAGCTCAACAGCAAGATCAATATTCTTAGATCTTCCCGCCGCTTTGATACCCTTGGAATATTCATGTGCATTCATCGAATTCCTGCAAGCATCGAATTCAGAAACATTTCTCTTCCTTCTCCAATTAAACACCTGAAAGTTGATTATTTGAAGGATACAATAAACACAAAGCTTAATGAAATTTGAACAGATAGCTATTGTTTCAGAATAAGCTGAATTTGAAACTTAGAATCTATAAGTATGAACAAAATTGAAGTAAATAACTAAATTAGAGTAATACCTCTAGTAAGAGAGAAGGGTTTGAATTCAATTGATTCAAAAGCTCAAGAAAGACGGGATGAGAGCGAACCAGAGATTCAGAATTATCTTCCAAAATGCTAGCAACCCTAACGGAATCAGAAGCTTCGCGAAGCAATTTGTTCTTCAAAATAGCGATTTCGTTAATGAGATGCTTTTCGCAAGGTGGAATTGAAACTTTGAACAGCGAAACAAGGTCCAATAACACGCTTGGCTGTTGCAGGGTACTCGTGTGTCGTTGGATGAATGTGGAGGTGGGGAGAATGGGAATGGATTTGGGATTTGATCGGTGGCGTGTTTCGGTGAATCTGGAAGCTTGTGTTGCTTCTGAAGTGAATCTCCAAACACGTTTCATTGGGAATGGGGCGGAATTTTTCTAGGGTTTTAGAGAAAAGGAAAAAAAAAAACCCAACAGGAGGATTATGAGAGTGAGAGAGAAGGAGGTGATTTGTGTTGTGAGGGATTGGTGGCGACAAGGCGGGTGGGTGGTCGTGACTACCAAAATTTTTTGGTTTCGGGTTTGGTTTGGGCTACCTAAGGTCCATGGGTGATAGTACAAATCTATATCATGGACGAATCAATCAATCTAATAGTTTTTTTTTTTCTTTTTTTTTTAAAACATTTTATATGTTAGAATTTTTCACCCATATACCCAATATATCACCACTATAATTTCAATATACCTTATATTCCCTCTTATTTTTCAATCTAACCAACTTTCACGTTTTTTTTTAATTTACAAGAGGGCGTCATTACTGATGGAGCCACCCTTATAAATTATAGGGGGGCGTCCTCCAAAGGCACCCTATAATTTATAAGGGGGCGCCATCCCCTTTGGAGCTTCCCTTAAGGAGTTAAAGGGGGGCGCCATCCCCTATGGAGCTCCCTTTGTTTCGTAATTTTTTTTAATTCTGATATAAATAATATAATTATAATATAATACTATTTTGTACAAAATTTTTGTGTATAAATAGTTAGACTTGTTTCATTCAAACAACACATTGTTTCATCCAAATTTAGAAGAGTGAGTCATGTATCTTAGAAGATATGGGCATGTAATTTTTTCAAGAATGAAGCCTCCGATAAGGATGTTGTTTTGGAACATTCAGAGTTTAGAATATAGTATTCGCTACAAGGTAATTAGTTAGACCAAGAATGATCAATCTTTCATAGTCTTTTACTTAATTTGGGATGAATTACGACAACTGTCCCCATTTCAGTATCACCCAATACATAAATCTTATAGATCATTTGGGACAAGATGATCTAAGTACTAAGTATTAGTAGAATACAGTATCCTTAACTTACCTATTTAGAATATAGTCTCCTTAAATATTATTAGAAAATACTAAATATTATTTTTTTCTCCTACAGTTTATTTGGCGGCCATATCTTGGTCTAGAAGCCATTCACGAAGTTAACCAACATGACTCTGCAGTGTGGAGTGCAAAGGTGTCGATTATCAACTTCACCACCGTGGAGATGCACAACAGTGATCGTGTAAAGCTTCAGTTTGGAATGCTTCAAGATATTCCATGTCCGCCGAAATGCATCCCCGACAAATATCACACAGGTAAAGTCTCCGACCAATGGGAATATTCTCCATGGAGCAAGTATGCAAAACATGAGTGTCGTGAATGGAAGCATCGCAGCCATTTTGTTTTGTCCGACACTGTGTTTCCATACGAGAGAAAACAGACTATCCAATACATGAATTGGTATAGGGAGGTATCCATCGGTTTCATTTTGCATCCAAGATATCTTGTTGACCCACGCCATCAAGCCACATCATCAAGACCCCAACAATCAACCCAGCCCCATTTCCAACCGCTAACTCAATCCCATTTCCAACCACCAACCCAACCCCATTTCCAACCTCCAACCCAACCCCCACACACACAACCACAACTATATGAACATACCCCTAACCAATTCACCTCATTCACATAAACTTATTCACAATCCGAATACCAACAATATCCACCACAATACCAAACATACTCCATGGATACTACAAACCAAATAAACACCCAGTTTCAAACACCAAATCAACCCTTACCCGCCCAAATATTTACACCCATGTCACCCTACGACCAGTCAGGCTATCGTCCTGACATTGTCTCATCCAACCAACCACCCCAAAATAATTACGAAGGCATGGACAACCCTTTTGATTTTGATGACTTTACGGGGATGAAATCGACTTCATAGACCGAAATGATGCAATTTCTTGAAGACGACACGGTCGACCCGACTCCACCACAAAGACGACCAAGAAACGTACGTAATCGAGGATGCGGTACGAGCGGACATTTAAACCGACCTAGTAGTAGAAATTAGTGTACCATATCACTCATATGTACCCATTTGTAATTAAAAAAAATTGTAATTATTTTTTAATATTAAGTTTATTAAATACAATTTAATTTTTATTTATTATTTGGAAATTATTAATGAAAATATTATTTATTATTTAGTTGTTAATTATAAAATTATTTAAAAATTATTTAAAAAATTTTATTTATAAAATTTTTATTTATTAAATATTTTTTAATTGTTAATTATTATTTATTAAATATTTTAAAACTTATTATATAATAAAAACTATTTTAAAAATTCGTTTAAGGGAGGCTCCAAAGGGGATGGCGCCCCCCTTATAAATTATAGGGTGCCTCCAAAGGGGATGGCGTCCCCCTATAATTTATAAGGGTGGCTCCATCAGCAATGGCGCCCCCTTGTAAATTAAAAAAAAAAATCGTGAAAGTTGGTTAGATTGGAAAATATGAGGGAATGTGGGGTATATTGGGATTATAGGGGTGATATATTGGGTATATGGGTGAAAAATTCCTTATATGTTTCTACTTCACTGTGTAAATGTTTCTTGATTTTAAAGATATATTTGCAGACGCATCTATTACGCACTCAACAAAAGTTATTCTGAGAGGTGCCTTACAAGTTAGGTTATTTTTATTCCGAAAATGCATCTCCGGAACATTTCAAGAAATATGTTAATTATTGACCAGTTCAGTAGAAATTTGGGAGTTACTTTTCCGAAATTGTGGGCGGGATTTTGAAATTTTATGTCACCTTTACATGTCAGATATTTCCGGAGGTGCATCTCCGGAATAATCTGATAAAAGAACAAGCTACATGATCACACAACCATCATTGCCATAATTGGTTTTCAACTGAACCCTTCACGAAAAAACTCTTCATTCTCAATCTATTTTTTACTCCAAAACTTTATTCTTTTGGTTCATCACGTCATATAGAGTAAAAGAATATAAAATTTCAAGTAAAGATTCTTCATTTCCCTCAGCATTGTTCAGATTAATCATCCTTTTTTTTCTGGAAAAAAATAGTGTTGTGTCCAGATATGTATCTTCGGAATGTGTATGAACTTTTCCAGAGATACATTTCTGGAAGTTGTTTGTGTTCTTTTTTCAAGTCATTCTTCAGTAGTAACGCTTATGTGTTGTTATGGTTTTAATTCTTTTAATTAGATATGGTGCACCCCGATATTTTCCCAAAACAAGTTGTTTCTCAGAATGTCTAAGGTGTTGTTGTGAACAGTAGATGTTTGCAACAAATTTAAAAACAAACAAGAGTTTTAATCTTGTGATCAAATGTCTCAATGGATTCCTATGGAGATCTTTAAACTTGGATTTGGTGTGATTATCAGAAGTTCCGATAATGGTTCGGATAAAATATTCACTTTTATGACAATGACGTGCAAAAGAAGCAGGAAATATATTACTCCTCTCCAAAATTTTAAAAGAGACGACACAGGTTCAAGAAAATGTGACATTCTGTTTAAGGTGTGTGGTTACATATTGGCAAAGAAAAACTGGAGATTTAATTATATGTGGTTTGTATAACCATGATTTGTGTTTAAAATTAGTTAGTCATCCTAGTATGTGTCGGCTCATGCCGAAAGAGAAGGAATGTGTTGCTAACATGACCTTGAATCTTATTCAACTGAATAATATACTTGTAACATTGAAACGCAAACGACCCAAAAATATATCAAGTACCAAGCAAATATTTGGTACCTCACTAACAAGGCGTTTAGGGGGGATAGAACTGAGATGTAACAACTCTTGAAACTGTTGGATGATAATATTGACGTGTCTAGGTACCGAATGTGCAGGGATGAAGTTGCTGTTAGAGATATATTTTGGGCTCATCTTGATTCCATAAAGTTGTTCAACATGTTTCTATGGTGCTCATACTTGATTCGACCTACAAGATCAACAAGTATAGACTTCCATTATTGAAGATGGTTGGTGTTACCTCAACTGAGAAGATATATTTTGTTGGTTTGGTATTTCTTGAATGTGTAAAAAAGGACAATTTTACTTGGGCCTTAGAGGTGTGTCGGACATTGTTGAAGGACCAAAGTGAGATGCCCAAAGCGATTGTTATAGACCGTGATACCACATTGATAAATTTGGTTGCAAAAGTATTTCATTCTTCTAATGCATTACTTTGTAGATATCACATAATAAAGAATGTGAAAAGTCGGGTTAAACCCGCGGTAGGGACGAAAAAATAGAGTTCGAAGATAGAAAAATGGTGAAGGCGGATGTGGTTGTGGAAAAAATAGTGGATGCATGGAATCATATCATAAATTCTTTCAAAAAAACAATATGTCGATTACGTTATGCATTTTAGGAAAGTGTGTGAAAAGTATCTAGATTTGTTGAAATATGTTGAAAGCACAATTTTTTACTAGGTCAAGGAGAAGATAGTTTGTGTTTGGACTGATAATGTTAGACACCTTAGAAATACAACAACTAACAAAATTGAGTCTGCCCATGCTAATTTGAAATTTTGGTTAAGAAATAGTAATGGTGATTTGTGTAGAGTGTGTGTTGACCTGAAACGCTACGGTTTTTCGAAAACCTTTTTCCCACTACGCACCGCCTCACCTCAAAATCCAAATGATTGTATCATGTGTATAAAGTGGCTTTCAAAATCAAGTTATTTTGTTCAAGTTTACTTGAAACTAGGATGCCCTGTACCACTTAAATCACCGGAGTGGACGTCTCAGTCAACTACAAAAGTCAAGACTTGGCCGGATCATTGTATGGAAAGGATGCAAGAATTCGAGAAATTGAACAATATTGAAAATGAATCAAATGCACAAAAGTCAAAGGGGGTGCCACCTATAGATTTAGCCGGTGACATATGTTTTGATTTGTTTTAATTTCTTGTTTAACTGGACAAATAATTGTATGTAATTGTGTCTCAATATAAATGAAGTGTTATATATTTACCTTTTGTTCATATTTTTCCTTTAAGAATTTTTTATCTTCCTCATAATAACATTTATATTTTTGTAAATGAAAAAAT